TTTAGTATTTTTTGTTATATAAAAATTATGAAACTTTTGATTTAAAAATCTGTATTTATGAATTATACCTTCTTTTAATGTGTCATGTTTTGAATGATGATAATGAATTTTATTAAATAATTTTTACTATCATCATTTAAAACATGACACATTAAAAGAAGCTATAATTCATAAATACAGATTTTTAAATCAAAAGTTTCATAATTGTTATACAAAAAAAATAAAGTAAAAAAAGCATTCATATATATATATATGAATGCTTTTTTTGAGTAAAATTAGTAAAATTACTGGGCTCTCCCACCACGACCAGGTGGTGACCACAAGAGAGTTATTATTATAATTATAATGAATTTAATATGTTAGGTCAGGACAATAACTGAAATTATTATGAAAAAAATATGAAAATCATATTTTTTTGATATAACAAATATTTACCATTATTTATCTGTGGACAAAATGAAAAGACATGAAATTGAAATGACTTGTTAAACAGATTTAATGTAATATTATATATATTATATATAATATATATATATATATATAGTGGCTTATTTTTATGAAATTGAAAAAGCCCTTAAAAAAATCTATCAGATCACTGTTTTAATTGGATGCATATTTTACGAGATATTTGTAAAATATGCATCCAATAAATGAACTAACCAGTATATATAATTTATCATTACATAATAAAGTGTTCTGTATTGAGAACAAATAGTAATTCTATTTATTGCAGTAAATCTTCAAATATCTTAACAAATGACTCACTCTTTGAAATATATTATTTAAAAAATTCTTTAATAGGATTAACAGAATCAATTTTTAAGTTGTGAGATATATGAATATTACAGAAATAATTGCAGAACACTTTCTTGTAATAAGGTGCAAAGAAAACATGATAATGTCAGAAAAAAACAGTATTCATTTTCAAAATTAACTTACATTGGACAACATACCAAGAACAAAAAGGAAAAGAATGTAGAACACTTATTTGCAACTCATTAATAGTCCTTCCCACCACTAAACTACAGCACTCCCTGCATAGTGGAGTTCCACATTACACAGTAAAAAACCTAAGATGCAGATCTAGAAGAAGAGGAGAATTTTTCTTCTCTGCAGAAGAAAAATTCTCCTCTTCTTCTAGATCTGCATCTTAGAAGTGAGAAGAATAAATAGATCTATCTAAACAGAAAAAGAAACAATCCAAGATGCATATCACAAGCATAATAAACCTTTCAACAATATTCTTGGATAATTAAATGTTTGTTTAATCAAATAATTTATATTTTCATAACTCAACTTATAGTTATGATTTAATATAAAATAAAACAATGTAAATTAGCAATTCAAGGGAGAATAATTATTTTTGTCATCATGCTATATTTAAGTTTTATCATAAATGCACACACATTTGTGATAAATATATAATTTAAAGCTAAAGAAAATTACATTTGGGAAAGATCAATATGATTCAAACTTTCACAAAACATTTTCTCCAAATACCAAATAAATATATTGTATTAAAATAAAAATAAAAAAATTAATAAATGCAATTCATTCAATAAAATCAAAAATAGTTTTATACCTAACATTTACAATACTTATATAATTTTTTCAAAAATATTTTTAAAAACTATAGTTTAAATAACTTAGAATCATAACTTGACACAAAAGCATTTACTATATCTGATTCATCAATAATTTGACCTTGAATATGAAACAATCATAATCTGGAATTTCAGATACAATGCAGATTTTATATAGTTCGGCATTAAATAATATTGTTGGAATATCGATATAGAGGAGAACATATGCAAGTATTTGAAGTATGGGATTAGAGAGACTATTACATACTACAAATTTAGTAATTTATTCCAAAATTTCACAATAAAACAGTCTTCTATAAAGACACTTTATGACTTGTACATTATAATTTTTATATCTAAAAATATAAAAATTATTCCTAACTGTGCAGTTTTTTAATGTAAAAAAAAGACTGTTTTAAGATTCAAAACTTTACATAATCTTGCCTCATTGATACTAAACCATTTCTTCCTCCCCAATAACTTTTAAAAATTGGCAGCATTAATGAATTAAACAGTTTATAAAAACCTATAACAAGCAATGAATGCATTAAAGTAAAAGAACTACAATTTAATATTAAAAAAAAATATTTTTGGCTAAAAACTAACCAATAAAAGTATTTATTACTTAAAAAACATTTTTACATCATTTTTTATAAAATGAAAAAATAAATTCTAATTCTTTTATATTTCATTAATAAATACTTAATTATTTTGTCTAACTTTATAAAAAATTATTAATACAAATTCAAAATAATTATAATTTTAGGGTTAAGTATATAAGTTTAGAGCATTCTTATCTCTCTTTTGTAGCATAACTTAGCTTTCATTGCATTAAAAAAATGCTTTGTTACAACACATTTTAACATATATTTAAAAACTTGAATTACATTTTATAATTATTAATTTAAATTATTTTATATAATTTATAAGCAATGATCTCATTCATTCAGACATAACAACAAACAATAAACAGTTGTATTATTTACTAATTCATAGAAACAATTTAATATTTAATGAGAAATTTTACATTATCACAACACAATGTTAATATTTTAGAATTACAATAATTATTTTAAAAATTTGATCTAATGAATGTAAAACTTCAAGTAATTTCATAATTACTACATAACATTTAAAGACACGTAACTTTTAGTTTGAATGTTATTAATATAAACAATTATATTGATAGACTATGTAATTAAGCAAGCAAATTCTTGTCTAAGTCACAATCATTTTTCTATTATATGTCTGAATATAATTAAAACTCAAATTCATTGATTAGATATTTGAAAGAAGTTTTAAGCATATTAATGCCTTTATTATTTTGTAAAATAAATATATGATAGTATGATGTACTGTACCAATACACTTATATATAAAATTAGCATAATTGAAATTGATTAGTGAAAATGGAACACTAAAGATAGATCTAAATGCTCAAATTAAAAGCCAGAAAGTATTCTTCCATACAACTGATCATACAAAATGTGTACAGTATTAACTACAATGTTATATTTTGTGTTTTTATCCTGACAAAATTTATTCCTCTTCAACATTTGTGAATATATATTTACTACTTGGCATTATTTTGATGTTCTTAGTACAAACATCCAATTGGCACAGCATAATGTGCAAATGTACACTTCACCTCATATAATATACTAATTTTAATTATGTTTCAGAATTTTTCTATAAAATTGCTATGTATAATGACAATTCAAAAACTGGCAATACAAGATTATGTTTAAGTAAAAGTAAAATAATCATTTACACATCAATTCATAAATATCAATATTTCTATAGCTTTATATGGCATAAATATTCAAAACAGAATAAGAGAAAAGAAATAAGTATTATTTCTGAATCTAAAACATACTGATTTTGAACTTATAACACCAAAAATTTAAAGCATTGCCATTTATAATAATATTTAAAAAAATTAATGTTGTCTATGAATAATTTTTCATGACTGAATAGTTATATCCTTGTTTTACAATGCATATAATACTTTTTAATATAATCTAACACAGAAATAAATTAATTATTCCAGTGTATGAAAGAAGGTTCCTTGTATTAGTCACACACACATTTTCTCTAATATTTTTTTTCTATAAATGAAATTTATGTATTTAATTCAATGTTATGACTCCTAATAGTCTTAACAATAATGTTTAATTTATTAAATACTTTCAAGAAGCCAAAGCTTATCTTCAGAATATTTTAAATTTATACAAAAACTAAGAAAAATAAAATTTAGTTAAACTATAAATTACTTGCATACAATTAGTAAATTTTCAAATATTTTTTTATATAAATAAATTATAATTTTTCAACTACAAAAACATATTTTCATCTAAAGAATCTTCATAGATTTACTCTTAATTCTAAGTAAAATCAATATACAAACAGACCTATATTAATATGTACAATCTAACCATAAACATAATCATTATTGAAAACACTATATACATTATTTATAACTGTTTATAATAGCAAAACCAAAAACAACTATACTCATGCAAATTACAGACCATACATAAACATGTTTATGGTGAAAATAATGTTTTGAGCTGAATTTTTATAGAATATTTTTATATTTCAGTTCAATAAATATAAACTCTATATATAATATGATCCATAATATTTCTATAATAGCCTTTAATAGTTTTCTGACTATAAAATTATAGTAAACAATTTAACAGCTTCAATTTCCAATATATAGCAATTTCAAACTTCCGATCATTGTCATGCATAAACACAAGCATGCATCCAAAAAAAATTAAGTATTATAATTCAAATAAATAAAAATAGTCATAAAAAATGTTTAATGATTCTGAATTAGTAAATTACCAACAGTAATTTGTTTATTGTATTGTCTTTAAAAGCTTTACAGAATGAATATAATACCAAAATTATTCTAATAATGCTTCACTTCTTTCATGATATAAGAACTTAAATGTTACATTTATAAATTTTTATTTATTTTAGAGATTTATTTTTTATTTGTATCCAACATTCTTAACAATAAAATAACTCTTGCTTGTATACAAGAACATAAATAAAACAATTGCATCATTTCTATTCAGAGTTGCAATAGTAATGTCAGGAAAATGTGCATTTCATTTACGACAACAAATGCAATTCCATATATTATAAGCCAAATTACATTTGCTGTCACTATTACTGATTTATCTGCCAATATTTCTTATACAACAGTGTAATTAAAATATCAAAAACTGCTTAATGCCACAAACTATATATAAATTACATGTTTTATATTAATCTCTTAAGTGTAACTTTGTATAGATGTATGAATTAACAAAAAAATGGTTATAGTATTTAACAAATTGATAATAAAATTTTGTAAATATTAAATTATAATAGAAATTAATTACAAAAAAAAGTCAAGCTACTTACCCTATATCCATTTACAAGGAATCTTGTAGATATAACAATAGTAATTTTGTTCAAGAAGAGTTTGAATTCATGAATACAGTATATTTAATGTCTGTTGCAAACAAAATGTAGATCACAACACAAAATTCACACACAACTGAAGATATGCATAAAAACTGTTCAAGCATTCGACATCTTTTTCTTTTTAAACTTTAGATAAAACATACACCTAATATACACAAATATATATATATTTATAATAATATAAAATTGACTGTGATTTATAAGAACATATATTTTCCTTTGATATTTACATTTTTGGATTTCATATTTTACTTTACATAATTAGTTAATTTATATATATATAAATATATATATATAAAAAGAAAAAAAATGAGTGAAGATTCTCTCAAAGAGTACTTTTGAATGGATTATCCAATGAAAGTACTTTTCGCAAAATCTTCTCAATTTTTCTGACTTCTAGATAGATTTTCATCAACTTTTACCGTTGCAATACTGTTTGCGGTTGAAGGACTCGTCTTTGTCCATCAGAAAAGACGTCCTTCAGATGATATATAGTTTCCTTCATGTAAAGACAAGCGATATCATCCTCACTGTAAGTTGAACAAAATCCAATATGGCGATTTTTTGACAGTTGACACTTTACTCTATACCATTACGATATCCGTTCGCCTTAATAAATAATCCCTAATTTGTTATTAAAATTTTAACATAATAATATAAATTTTTATTAAAATTAATTAGAAATTTCGCGTCTTTATCGTATCGAAATTTCTTGTAATTTAGCAGCGATTATTATTATTTTAAAATTAGCATTTTTCTTTTCTTTTTCTTTTTTTAGTAGTGTATCAATCCGCCAGTTGTCTCGTGGTATTTTTATTTTAAGCCTAACTAGAATTTTATATAAAAAAATTGATATTTTAATTTTTTATTATTTTAAACATAAATCTAATAATAAAATTTGAATTAATTTTATAATTTTTTCCGTGTAATAATTGTTAACTAAATACATTTTTCATAAAGATGGTCGCCACCTATATCAAGACAAAATATTTTATTTTANGGAACGCAAAAAAGGTCGGATTATCAGAAAAAAAGTAAAATAAACAATCTTCCCCTTTGTCCAGTCTTTGTAGCACTGCTAATTTTTCATTTAATGAAAGAGTAACGTGTTTACGTTTCACTCCTGACATATTGAAAACACACACAAAACTGTACATGTACACACAATGTAAAACATATACTGTAACGAACACAGAAAAACGCCACGGACGGTTAGTCACCGACGAGTCGGGACAAGTTTCTCGACTCCGACCACGGTCGGATTAACCGGAGTGACGGACTAGCCGAGGGCGGACTAGAGGGGTTCTACTGTATATTAAAATTAAATATTAGTTGGTATCATAAAATTGTGTGAACAACAAACGTTCAATTCAATATATAAATAAATATGTGGAAATGGCTTTATGTTATATCATTGACTTTCCATCAGGAAGGTCCGACTTTGACGTACCCTTCTAACTTTGTTTCTCTTTCTATTGCATTTAATTTAGGTATGATGCAATTAGGAAAAATTCTAAAATACTTTTAATTTTTAAATAAGTTAGTTTGATTTTTGTAAGTCGTGTAAGCATACAAAAACAGCAAAAATTATACCTACTATGAGACTGACTGCAAATGGAATCAGTTAGGATTCTATTTCCAGTTTGCTCGGCCATCAGCAAGGTCTTAGATTATCAGGTTGCCTCATAGAGAAGAAACGCTTCTCATTGGTTGCTTAATTGACGTCACTCCTAGTCGAAAACGAAACATCTTACTATGCCCTTATGGTAGAAACGTTACCGATCAGAGGCTCGTAGCTTTAATTACACGCTAATATTTTATTANATATATTTTATCCGTAACCATATTCTGTAATTTCTACAGAACGAAGAGTAAAGACTACAACAGAATATCAAACTGTTCTAGAAACACTTTTGTTACTTCCGAACAATTTTTATCGATGTAATTATCAACATAATTATGTTTAATAATAGTAATAACTATAGATATATTTACCTTCGAAGATTAAGAGTCTAAAAACGCTCGACAAATTAAAAAAAAAAAGAGTTAAATTCCAAAATTTCCTTCCCTGGCTTACAGTAGTGAAGTAGTCGCTAGGCCACGGCTCGACTACGGATGACGTATATCCGGAATCTGGCAGGAAGTGGCTAAATCGGCTGTATGAGGCAACCTTATAAATCTAAGACCTTGGACCATCAGGCCTGCGTTCAAACGAAGCCGGATGGCCGAACGGTTGACATCCTACCGGTCTGGATGATCCGGGAACGAGTCCGAATGGGTCGAACATTTCCATGAATATTACGGTGGTGGTTCGTCTGGATATGTCGAACTTCATCTTAGCAGCCGGCCATTTTATTATGAATCTGGCAAAACCCGTAATAGACTTGCTATAAAGGATGCTCACAGAATGGAAAGAGTTTAAAAAATAGTGTACTGTTATAATTAGAACTGCTACTGAGTAAAAATTTAATAGCTGAGAGAAAGTCTACCGTGTTTTATTGATTCGGATCAAAGAGATATATACTCAAACTAAGTAAAAGTTTACATAGACTCATTTTCGAGATGACGAACTGTCCTAGTAATTTATAATCTATCTTGCAGCTAAAACATTACATTGGATTAGTGCAATAAGGCAACGCAACACATAGGCGGTCTGTCAAAGGAGATCCCTATCCAGAGGACTTTCTATTGGAAACTGGCCTCTCCTGCTTTAATGTTAGACACACGAAAAAAATCCGGAAAACTCCGTGTGGCTAATCCGTTGGTGAGGCGAAAACCCTCAATCAACTACCTGTTTGATAGTTTTATCCACTAGGCCTTCAGTAGGAGCTAAAAGGACTCAAGCGTTCATCAAATTTATTATGGCAGCTTTATTATTAGGTTATCTTTAATTAAATGAATATGAAATTAGTCTGCTGTTAACTATCGTCCATTTTTTGTTAATTAAAAAAAGTTCAATATTTTGAATAGTGTGTTAATATGTAAATCAATAAATTAATTACAGGTGTACATCGTCTTATCAGTAAGTTTCACCTCCATCACAGCCGTTTATTCAGTATCATGTTTTCTCAAGAATGAGATCCTCGATCACTAATCAAGTATTCTACATTTCTAAAGACTAGAAAGCATGCTTCAAATTTTATTATTAAGTAGACATATTTTGATTAAATCTTTAAGGTGCAATTCATTTTCATTTTATTAAAAATCGAATAATTATCAAGTTATTTATGAAACTAGCAGTAAACCCTGTAAAATGATGGATTTGATTTCTAAATCTCATGTACAAAAAGATATTTGCATGATTGTAGGAAATGCTTTGAAGGTAATTCGCTAAAAATTCATCTCCGTCACTACGTGACGAAATTAAAACTGAAAATATATTTTTTCAGTTTCACCCATAAAATGGAAATAATTGTATAAAAACTTAATCTTTTCAATCAAAGGAAATGAAATGTTATAATTATAAATTACAATTTAGCTTATGAAGTTTCGTTGAACCAACTTATTTGCATTAAAAGCAACTTAGAAGATAGTAAAATTTCTTTCAGCATCAAGTTTTATTACGACAAGACTATCTCTGAAATCCAGAGAATCTGTTGCAGTAAGGCAGTAAGGCAAAGGAAACATAAGGAAAAAATAAGCAATGAAGCAACTCGTGAAGCATTCAGAGAACACAAAACAGTGAGATAGAAGAAAATAATTGAAACTAGAAAAACGAAAACCGCAGTTAAGCTGCGATTGAGGAAAACGCGTGCAACGAAAACAGTGGAATGATAGGAAGAATCGTTCAAATGAAAGGAAAAAAGGAAACAGGCTTTATCAGTACAAAATTTCTGCAGTTTATTGACATCTGATTCGTCTGACACAAGCAATTGTTACGATGCAATACAGTAGCCACGAAAAGACTGAAGGTAGTGGTGTGGACTGTCCAGAGGAAAAGTCGGGAATTTCCCGGCGGGACGTTTGCTCCGTGACCTTTCCTTATTTTAATAGTGTCATATTAACTCGAGAAAAATAAATTAATAAACAAAACGCAAACGCTGACAATTGTATTCAATTTTAAAAGGGTAGTTTTTTTTCTAATTCAAGTCGCAAGCCGCCGTGATACGATTTACAAATTACGAACAGAGATCTGGCTCACGGCAAACGGGATTTATTACTCAAAATTTTAAATGTTTGTTTGTTTGGCAACGCAACACTTGGGCGATCTGCCTAGGGGGATGCCTTCCGGGAGGTCTTTTTTAAAGGAAATTGCCCTATTTAGGTGTTACAGACGTGGGGAAAACTCGGAAAACTCCACGTGGCCAGCCTGTCTTAGCGAGGCGCGAACTCCCAGTGTTCAGGGAACGAAGAAACTGGCCACTGGTGGGTCAAATTTTAAATGACTGCCCCGATTCGGACGTAAACCGCCACTGAACGGTACCTGCGATGTGCGTTCTGTAACTTTTAATTTGAAAATATACAACTCGTACCGTAGGTTACAATAATGTTTTTACATTTTCTGCCCTACGGACACACTTTTTTTTCAAGTGAATCGTAGATTCGCCAGGCCCACGACGGTGCGGCTGGATGGTCAGGGACAGGGTTCGAGGACAAACTATCTTTCGAAAACTCCTGAGGTTTTTTTTGACTGCCCAAATTCAACGTTGGGCCCTCCATAGCAGTAGACTTAATCATTAACCGCTTTGGCCATTCGGCCGGCGGTATACTTATACAGTAGACGTTAATTATCCGAAAAAATAGGAAAGGACAATTTCGTATAATCGATCACACTCGGTAGGAAAAGTGTAATTAAATAAACTATATTAATTTTAATTCTAATACAATTTAAAAATATATATTTAGGTGTAGAAATTTTAAAAATAAGAATGATAACGATAAAAATTGTCTAATTTATTAAAAACAAGTACAGTACTAGTCCTTCATTGCGCTCTATGCAATGGAGGACTGGTTGCATGAAACTTTGAAGTAAAAAAAATACATATTAGTAAAATTAATATTAAATAAAATGCAGTACTCATGTAAAAAGTATTTATTAGTTTTTTTTCTCTGAAATAATTTATTTTGCTTTTACATAGTGTTTTTCTTTTTAACATTGTTAATTAACTCCCTGGCCAACTTGATCATCAGAGTTCAAAAATTTGCTTCAAAATCTCATTTCTAACTTTCGACGCTCTTTCTAATGCATCAAAAGCCCGTGACTCATTACCTAACACTAGTGTTGATAACGAAATTGCCCAATAGCGGGTCTACGAAAAATTGCCGACGATTGTTATTAAGTAAAAACTTCGTAATTCTGAAATTAGTATTTTCTAGTCAATTTCAGTTAATCGACCTTTCGGATAATTGATTTTCGAATAATCGACGCTCTACTGTATATACTGGTATCTCTTGATTAAAGCGGTTAATTAATCCCTCGATCTTACCGCGTATATCAAAATTGCCTTAGTCAAAATACGGTAACTATGTTAAGTAAAGACAATTGATAAAGCCGCGTATATAAAGGGATTGACGCAATCAATTTCGCGGGTTAATGAAATCCCGCGTTAAGCAAGTGATGATACCAGTATACAGAGCAAGTGCACCAAATTCATTTTATTTCTATAAGTATAATAATA